AGCAGGAATACATTCACATTTGACTCATCCCTGACATCTTGGTAGAAATGAAGAAGAATTATTTTATCGTTGCTGTTGCAGGGGATGTAATAGTGGAATCAGTTCTGGGAACAGCTCACCCCTTCTGGAAAGGGATGGCAATGAGTGGCCTTCGAATTTCAAAAGGAGCTTGTTTGAGACTGGCATTCTCATACACCTCACCTTCTTTTGTAATTGCATACATGCTCACTATTTTAAACAGTATTAGACAACGGGTTTGTCAGATAGGTCCAGACTTAGGAACATATTTTATACAGCCCATTCTAGAGCTGCATAAAGCAAGAGTTACCCCTTCGGATTTTGAACTGACAGTCTAGTAAAAACAAAGCAAACTTCAGCAACAGGAGATTCATGAGATTCTTTCTAACCTAAAATACTAGACGGAGCACAGAACCTGTCTCTCCTCTTTGCCCTGTCTCTTTCTGTGGAGCCTCCTGCATCTAGAGCCACAGGGCGATAGATCACCACAGTGCACATATCCAAGCCCTTGTAGCACAAATCTCATAGCTCTCCTGCCTTGAGGCTCCCTCCTGTACTTCTCAAGACTCATGACAGTCTTAGACTCCTCTTAGCAGCAAGTCTGGTCCCAGCCTGTGCTTTGGGAGGACTTTCCTTCCCAGATCAACAACACGTAGCCACTGCTTAGCCTTGTTTCTGTGCCTCAATGTGGAACATGCATCTTGTGGCCAGTTGCATGAGGTCCAATAAGGCCAAGTGTTGGGTCCTGCCCTGGGGTCACAGCAAGCCCATGTAGTGCTACAGGCTTTTGGAGGAGTGGCTGGGGAGCTGCCAGGCAGAAAAGGACCTGGGAGCGTTGATTGACAGTTGGCTGAACGTGAGCTGGCCAAGAAAGCCAAAAGCATCCTGGCTTGTATCAGAAATGGTGTGGCCAGCAGGACCAGGGCAGCGATCTTTTTCCCCTGTACTCAACGCTGGTGAGGCAGCACCTCAAATACTGTGTTCAGTTTTGGGCCCCTCACTACAAGAAGGTCACTGTGGGTCTGGAGCATGTCCAGAGAAGGGCAGCGAAGCCGGTGAAGGGTCTGGAGCACAAGAATGATGGGGAGCAGCTGAGAGATTTGGAGTTGTTCAGCCTGGAGAAGAGGAGGCTGAGGGGAGACTTTGTCACTCTCTACAATTGCTGAAAGGAGGCTGTATCAATGTGGGGATCAGTCTCTTCTCCCAAGTAACAAGTGATAGGACGAGAAGAAATGTCCTCAGGTTGCCCCAGGGGAGGTTTAGATTGGATATCAGGAAAAATTTCTTCACTGATAAGCTTATCAGGTATTGGAATGGGCTGCCCAGGGAAGTGATAGAGTCACCATCCCTGGAGGTATGGGTAGATAAAGTGCTTCAAGACATGATTTAGTAGTGAACAGGTTATGCTTGGACTCGATGATCTTAAAGATCTTTTCCAATCAAATGATTCTATGATTCTTTAATAAGACATGCAAATAACCATGTTAAATGCTATCTTGCCCAAGTGGAAGGGAGGTAATTCAGCTCTGTAACATCTCTATATCTGGAATGGGAAAGGCAGAAAAACCTCAGATGCCTTGTACTGAAAAGCACTATCTGCTTATTTGCAGTGTCTTATAATTTGAACAGTGATGTGTTGTAATCAGTTATCGCTTGTTCTTGAGAAACTGGCTCACACAAACACAGAATAATGTGCTCTTGTACCCAGAGAAGCGTCTTGAGTGTCTTACAAATATATGCACATCTTGGAATTTTGTTGAAGTCCTAGAAGTTATCATTTAATTGTAAAGTTTCTAAAAAATTGATAGAGAGTAAAAAGTCTTGTTTTTCTGCATTTTGCTGTTAGAGCTGAAAACAGCGCTCTATTTTATTTCCTGTGCTCCTTTTTTTAAGGAAGAGTAAGCAAGCCTAGAAAAAGTTTCTAAGCTAAGATTTAAGATAAACAGAATCTAATCAAATAATATCAAGTATTATTTATTTTCTGAATCAAAGCTGAAAACACAAAGCTGGGGGAAGGCAAAGTGAAAACAGACCATCATCAATATGTCTGCAGTGCACATTGCTTAAGTAAAGTTCACAAGTGTCCTGCCTCAGAGTCTTGTGTTTGTCATATTACATAATTTTAAAAATAAGTGGTTGATTGTGTAGGGGTTGGTTGAAGTATTTGGAAGTCTCTGGTCAGTGAGGGACTTGAGGGCCAGTCTCCCAGATCATGTATCCAGCACTTATTAGCATCTGTGGCACATACTGCTGTCTGTTTTATCACCTCCGTTAAGGTCCCTTCCAACCCAAACCATTCTGTGATTCTACAAAACCTTTGCAAACAAAGCTGCGGAGTTTGCACTAAAAAGTCCTGAAATAGCAGTTGAAATCAAAGAAGAAAGTTGATGTTTTTGCTGCTAGCTTTATGTGTGGTGCTTATCTCTACCTCACTGGCCGCAACTGTAAATGCTGAAAAGCAACATTTTCTTAAGGTAGTTTGGGGTGTTTTATGGAAGAGAAGGAAGCCCTGCACATGTATTAAGGGGCAGCCAAGGAGGAGGTAAGTTGGGAGAGGAAATTAAAGAGCAGTAGTACTCCACGCTGCCCTCCTGTGGGGATGCTTATTTTTCAGAGAAGAACTTTTTATGGTGTAGCTTATCCTATATGCAAAGGGGAGCAACAAAAAAGAAAAACAATGTGGAAAAGGATCCACACTAGGGACTGCTCATAACTGCTATTCCAAGATTTTTTCCTGCAATACAGATCCCAAAATGTATCAGGGCTTGAGTAGAAGGAGTTTCTTTTAAATGGAGTTAATGAGGAAGACTCATACTGACAGCAGTTGAATCTTGGAGTTATATATTCAACAGATCAGTAATAGCTGGATTTTGTGGGTTGTTTTAAAGTTTGGAAGGAAAACAAACTGGCTGCTTAAGTTAACATATAACATACTATTTGCATATAGGATGGTGATTGTATTTGGATAAGGATTAAGCCGATGGAGGAAAATTCACATAGCACTCCAGGTGACGTAAAGCGGATGTTCCAAATTACAGACCCTGAGACAATGTGAGTGGTCTGTGGAACTGTATTAAATAGTAAAATCAGACTTGTAAATTAAGCTTGATTAGTCCATGTTCCTCAAGAAACCAAGGCTGATGTTTGTCCAAAAGCTTTGGAATGACTGGCACAGAAAAGCAGAATATCTAGCAAAAATAATTCTCTTCAAATAGTAAAGTTAGTGTGGTTTTTTTCCTCCTTTGTGCAGCTATCAAGAAAGTCTGCTGTTGGAAACAGTCGATCTTAGAGGATTCGGCCATTATTACTCACTTCTGAAGAGTTTATGATGGCCCAGTACAGGCCATAAATGCATAAACATACAGTCAACAGTAATAATTCATAAAGCACAGCTTGGTCCTGTAAAATGGTGTTAACAGTACAAATTAACATAATGTGGTGGTTTCTTGGGTGATTGACTCTTCAAACCATAGAGCTTTGTAAATGTTCTTACCCGATCTTACCGGTTTTCAGTAAAGCTGTCCTCTGGGGTGTCTTCTGTAGTTCATACAGCATTAAACACATTTGGGGTTTTAGCACTTTAGGATACAAGTTGTTGGCCAAACTGGAGCCCGGAGTTGTGATAAAATAATTGCTTCAGCCTTTGGTTAAACATCTGTATTGCTCGTGAGCATGCCTGACAGCTGCGATTTATCCTTTCCTTCTTTTATAGTGATCGACATCATACATCCAGTGCAATTCCCGTTCCAAAGAGACAGAGCTCTAGCTTCGGCAGATTGGATATTGGCTTTTCCAGTGGGCTTCCTTCTCCAGATAAAGGACTCCGAGAACGAGCCAACACAGGAAACGAAAGACTACAGTACAAAACCCCTCCTCCCAGTTACAACTCTGCTTTAACACAGCCCGTTGCCATCACAGCCCGTGTAGGAGAATTAGAGAAAAAACCTGGATCAATATCTTCCTCCTTGGATACCTCTCTGGACTCCTCGAAAGGAAATGCCAAGAAAGGCGAGGACCTGAGCAGCAGTTTAAATGGAGAAAACGGGAGCCTAAACAATCCGCGAGATCAACAGGAGTCTTTTCTAGGACATACAAGTGCAATAAATGGGGCATTTGTGCCTGGTGAGTGCTCTGGCACCACCAGCAGCGAGCAGCCCTGTGAGTTCCGTCCCTTGCTCGGCCCCGTCCTTTGCTGCACCGTGGAGCAGGCAGAGGAGATCATGGGGATGGAAGCAACAGGCTTCAGCGCGGGAGATCAGCTAGAAGACTTTAACTCCATCCCGGTGGAACACGCCGTGGCCGTGGAGTGTGATGAACAAGTCCTAGGGGAGTTTGAGGAATTCTCTCGAAGGATCTATGCACTGAATGAAAACATGTCCAGCTTCCGCAGACCGCGTAAAAGTTCGGACAAGTGAGATTGGACAGGGATTTGGTAGCAGACATTGAGGTGAAATCAGTGATCTGGAATAGAGATAAAATTGCACTTATTCTTTATATTAATTATAAAAAAATAAAAAAGCTAAAGCTATTCCTATGGTGTTAGACAAATGGACTTGAGCACGATAACACAGGCTCATGGTATATTCACAGGCCACGTAAATTTTGATTTTTTGCTTCCAGTCCTCTTATGTCTGGTATTTATAATCTGTTGAAATATTATTTTTTTTTTTAGGCATTGAGATCCATTTATAAAAAGCTTTCCTGAGACAACTTCTAGTGCTGATTAGGCCCTTCTATGAATATGTGTTAATTTCTTAATTATTATTTAGAGTTAAATTTATTTTAATCTTTTCAGAAGAAAGAAAAAGTTAATTTAAATATACTTTTATGGTAAGACCTCTTTACCTTCTCCCATGTACTCCTGTGTTTTCTTGAGCAATGTAGTCAGTGCTACAGAAATACCATGAATTTGTTATAATTGGACAGCTTTCTCTTGGCTGTGCCCCGTAGCCTTTGAAGATCTGGTTTGCACTGATGGGTCTTCAGTCAGTGGTGTAAACTTGCCAGAGAATGAGCACCTGTGTGATATCTGCAGTTTCCTTGCACCTCATTAATCAGAAATTACTTTCCTCCCCCCCTCCTTTCCTCCATACTCACCGTTCCTACCAGTAGAAGCCTTAAGGACTAAATTGTCTCTAAGGTTTCCTATTAAAAAAATCTCAGCCTGACCATTCCCCACTCTGGTTGGGCACAGACCTCCTCAGCAGAGACCTAACGAATGCACGACCTAAGTGGGGTTTAGCCACTGCCCTTCGAGGCGTCTAACAGGGACAGGGCGCTGTGCAAGCACTTCACAGATGTCTTCATAAAAACCCAGACTAAAAATGCAGTCAGCGCTTTGGAATTAGGTGAATTTGTGGAATCGCTCCACCCTCTGTAGAAAGGAGGCACTTAACATGATTCATCTAAATTAATATCCTTTTAACCATCTGTATTTTAGAGGAAGAAACTCGCAGCAGTTCACTGGAGGTGTGGCTTGCTCTTAGGTAGGTTACCACTGGCACATGTGTTCAGCTGCACTAATGGGAAAGCAATTTGCAGCCTGCTTTGCGATTCCTGGTATTTGTTTCACTTTGGATTTCATTGCTTTTGTGTTCTGTATTGTATACCCAAGAATCTGGGCTCTGTTGTGAGCTCTCAAATATAAAAATATATAGCAGAATAAAAAACACTTCATCATGCCTGGGGTTTTTTTTTTCCCTCCCTGGTCTATGTTTTTTTTTGAACCGATGACCTAGTCTTCTTTTTTCCTAACTTCACCGTAAGGCTAGCCAAAATTAACTTTTAAAAATGTGGATATGTATAATCTCAACTATCTGTTGTCAAAATGAGACGTGTATGTGAGAACCAATATTCATAATAGCACTGTTCTAGAATATGCATTTTTCCAGGTAACACTTTAATGATTGTATTAAAATTATATTCGCATTTCTTCTGTTAGCTTTTAACGTGTTGTTAGATTGAGCCTTTCTACAGCAACTCATTATTTTTTGGTCTGTACCAGTGCGATGTGCTGAATGAAGCACTCAGAAGCAAAGACCCCAGTTCTGTAAGGCAATGAACGTGATTCCAGGTACAAACATGGGCATGAAGTTGGACACATTCATGAGTATCTTCTTCCCTGAATAAGCTCCTCTGTTCCAACCTCATGAAAAGCTTCCCTAAAGGAAATGCTGCAGCAGCTTACAAAGCATTGCCATCATCTTTGAGAAGAGATAGGTAGGAAATTCTCACTGTGCTGTTGGCATCCTGAGAGCTAGAAATGAACACCTGAAAGCATAGCACTTAATGAAGTGAGCATAGGGTACTCTGTCCTGTGACTGTATCTTACCATCTTCTGATAGCAGGATAACTTTAGGAGAAATTAGGGAAAGCTGACTCAGTCATGCACCCTGTGGGATGGGATCTGGCACACTCAGAGCATCACAGACCTGTTTGTAGGCACATTCGTTTTCCTCTAGAACAGAAAGGCATTAGCTTGTGTGTGTGGTGACTTTCTGAAGCAATCCAAAGAGTAGCTGTGAAGCCGCTATGTTTTGTAGGCAAACACAGAACGTCTCAGTGCAATTAAATGACACATGAAGTTAGGTTTGTAGAGCATCAGCAGGACTTTGGATATTTTATTTTTCATTAGTTGTGCATTTTCTCAGGTTACACCCAACCAAATGAAGTCTGGCTTTCCACCCTGATGTGTTGCTGTTCCTGTTTGAGCCCTGTAATTGTTAATGTGTCAAACACGATGGTTGATTGCTGCATCTGTCGCACAAAGCTTCTTTGATAGGCTTTCTATGGATGTATCTTTAGTAGGCCTTAAATTGTTCCCAAATTTCTCTTCCACTTTCCTCCCTTTCAATATAGAAGGTGGTGTGAAGGGGGACAGCAACATAAGAACGAATTAAAGCATTGACAAAATTCTTGTTGCTGTGCGGATGGGAGATTGTACAGACTGCGGCCACCTCATGGCTTTCTTTTTTGTGGTTATTTTCCCTCCCTTTAAATTACTTTGAAAATAGCATAGTGGGAGAGAAACAAATAGTCGGTTTGGAGGTGAGATGATATATCACAGTGTGCTTTAAACTGTCAAGAGCCTTTCAGTTCCTGCACAGCTGTGACACCGTTAAATGTCTGCAAATGTCTTCAACTGGAGAAAACATTTCATTGCAATCTTTTCCCCTCTCTAGGAATTCCTAAGATTTTTGAGAATATTAGTTTTGGAAGATCATATCCGACTATATTTTTATAGCAAGCACAACAGCATTGGCTTATCCTTGCTTGACCAGGTATTTAAAATAAGCAAAACCAGAATATCCCATAGTAAATGACACATTAAAACTGTGTTGGTAATTGCGGGAAAGCTCATCTGTATCTATAAAATAAAACTGATTAGTATCTCTCAACTTGTGTGTCTTCTTTTAATGGCTCCTTTGTGTTTGTTTTCTCTACAAGTCTAATTTGAACCACAGCATCTTCCCCAGTCTCCCAGACTCTTTGACTTATTGTTTGTCCAGCCCATATTGACCCAATTGTGGATATTTGGGCAAGAGGGTTTGCTAGAAGACCTGACTGCCGCCTTGGCTCCAAATCCTATTTTGCACAAGTTGGTACTCAGTTGTGTTTTGTGCTTCTTCCAAAAAGATGGCACGCAGCTGGAAAAACAGCACACGGTGGGGCCGGGAGACAGCTGGGTTTGCAAAACTTTTATGGATAGTGGAAACACCGTGTTCCCTCACTGGGGAGGCATTGCTACTCATCCAGCACCTTCTGTGATCCGAGTTAATAAGCAATGTATGTCTGCCTAAAAAAGCTTATATGTTCTCCCTTCAACAGGAGTCTACAGCACCAGTGTTGGGAGGAGGCTGCCGCGACACGGAGTCTCTGAAGAGCTATGGGTACTCTCCAGGCATCATCAGTGCAACAGGTGTTTGGTTTGGTTTAGCTTTTTCCTTCTTTTTCCCACCCAATCTGTCTGTCAACAAGGAATCAAATGCCAAAATGCCAACTGTAGACTCCTGGAGCTGCAGTGGGAAGATCCAGGAGAAAAATTTTACTTTTAAGCTGGTTTGCAATATGGAACAGCTTTACTGAGATGTAGTTGCATTAAGGCGAATAACAAACTATGAATGGAAAAGTTTTTTATTGAAATATAACTGAAGGTGTCACTTGAGAGTGGACTTGTTCTAGATAAACCTTGGGCTCTTCTCTACCTCACTTTGGCATTTTCCAAATTGCCAAAGAGGATATTTCTCCTTGGTTTCTGGGTTTTGACCTTTTCAGGTGGAACTGTTAACGTGTGCTCCGCATCCTCTGAATTGGTCTAGTTTAGCTGGTATCTTTGGGCAAGATGGTCTTAACCTCAGGTGAAAAAAGGACTATAATTTTCCAGGAGACACAAAATCTAACTAAGACTTCTTTTAATTGCTGGTTATTTTGAGATTGGCTTATTTTGTATGTGGTAGAATGCAGTATTGTTTTATAGTTTTCATTAAATAGTGGGAAAACTTTTTCCCCACTAAGTAATTGGTTGTCAGGTGTCAGCTCTGCTGCTGGTTAAATTTGTCCTGTGTGTATTGCGTTGAGTAGCTTGACATTGGATCTGTAGGGCTCTTCAGTCTAACTTTATGTTGTTACTTTTAATGGGTTTTGATAAGAACACACTTGATATTCTAAATTTTCTACTTCTAGAACAGCCATATCCATTCTGGTCTGGCTTGTATTGGTTTTAGCAGGGATAAAAAGTCTCTCTCTGTGTTGCACTGACTTGTTAAAGGAAGCTAAAGAACTGGCCATAAAAAAAAAAAAAGGAAAAAATGCTTTGTTAGTCAGATATTACAAAGGTTTCATTGACAGATGTCCATTAAGTTTTGAATTGGCTCGAGTAACCCACGTGAACTGGCGCTGTCTTCCCCAGCTGCAGCAAGCAGTAGCTTTCTGCTCTTGCACCGGGGAAGCCTTCTCCCAAGAGCATCATTGGAGGAGAATGTAACCAGTGCCTTCTGTGGTGCCTCTGAGCCTGGACAACCGGCCAGCTCTGGCAGGAGAGCAGGGCAGCAGCCCTCAGAACCTACATTGATTACCCTCTGCAACTGAAGCAAGTTCAGGCTGTTTATTTAGGCAAAACTAAATGTAGTTTCCTTGGCTGAGCAGGAGCGAGATGGGGAATAAATCTAACACTTGCTCTAACTGTTGATTTTTGGCTTTTTGGCAGCAGAGCTCTGGCTTTCCATCATGTGTCCACCTGCCAGTGGTGCCAGAGGCATCGTGGAATTGCAGCAACCAGCCCTCAGCTCCTGCAAGGTATTGTGTGAGCTCTTACTTGGCGTATTTTTCACGTCTCTGTTAAAAAAGGGTTTGCAAAAGAAGTTGTGTGGTCACATCTCAAGCATTATTCACTGACAACTCCTAATGGGCAAATCCTGAAGTGCTGTAGCACGTTAATGCTGGTATAAACGGATCTGGAAACAGAAGAGTCCCAGGTACCTCAAAATTTCATATAAAATGCCTGTATTTTTTAAATAGTGTAATAAGGTAGTTCAGTCAATTAAGCTGCATATGCATGAAAAGCTGTTAAGCTTTGAGTGTGTGGTTGGTATGGGTGGAAAACCTGCCAGCCCAGCAATCGTGCTTCTGCCAAGCGTGTTGGCCTGGGTGTGGGGGCTACACCCCATAGGCAGGATGGGCAGAAGGAATCCCGCCACTGAGAAGTT